AGTGGCGGGGATACCCAAACTCCTAGAACTCGTGGGAGTTTGAGGTGCCACTTCGGCAATACTGCCCAGTTATCGTAGACGCTAATGATCAGGAATATAATGACCCTTTGCGTCGACGTGGGCCCAGCGCTTCTCCGCAGTAGCCCGGAAGTCGAAGAGTCATGAGCTGAGCTCAAGCTATGGACCTGAGCTGCTGTGGTTGTAGACTCATCCGTGTGACAATCCACAGAGCTCGCGGAGCGTGATGTATTGTTCCATATGTCGCAGAGCTACAATACGCAAGAAGTCGGCGTTGCGTCTTTATTTTGGTGGACATTTATATAAGATGGCGCTTTACGCGCACGTTGTGGTTTCGCTGCACGGTATATAGCGAGGAGAGATTCCGGTGCCGCTGCATCCATCGCAAGACAGGCTACTCATCATCTGCAGCGATTACGCCAGGGCAGGAATGGTCCGCATTGCAGGTACAGAAGCGCATTCTTTCTGAGCTCGAAGTCGAGCGCGATACTAATCCATTGAATATTCTTGTGGTACCAAAGAGCGAGCTCAGAGAACTTTCCGCTGATCAAGCTCAGCTTGTATAGTGGCCGAGGGCCGACTACGTAGACGCCTAACGATCGGATCGTCGCATCATTCTCTTAAGAAACGGTATCCGCCGAGCGAAAGCCGTACTCCACGCGAGGATCTTGCACCGAACGTCGATACGAGCGTAGGAGAGCCGCATTGTGAGCAGCCTCCAATTGCTGCTCCTGTGGCTCGTTGGGGCAATTGGTAATTATACCACTTGCCTCCGAAGCCGAGGATCGGGGAAAAGAGTCCAAAAGGTGGCCCATTTCATCCTCCTCGTCTTCCCATACTGGTAAAGGAGTATCCAACTCGTAGTCGACCTCCTCCAACTCATCGACGAGGAAATTCGTCGCCCGAGGCGGGCGCGGTGTGTTGCAATCGGTGCCGAGGGCTTGGGTTGTGCCCCCCGGAAAGCCGCGGACGTACTGTCCAGAGATGCACCCTGTACAGAAGAAGGAGAAGGGCTTTGCCCGCGGGCGCCCACGGAACCAACTAGGCTGGGCATTTTGCATATCGTAGACAGAAGGCTCATAGAGCGGAGAATGTTTAAGGTTGTTCTTAAGAACGAAACGGTGTCTCAGACACGCGAGTCTCGTATGATGAAACCGTTAAATGTGAATTGTGGATATTCATAATTTTAATGGGGGAGAGTGTAACGGAGTCACACGTACCCTTGTATAAAGGGCAAGTCACACAAGATGGTGTGACCGTTGATAGGTGTGGATTACATAACTTGGTGTCATCACCCAATGATGTGGCTACATCGTAAAAGAGGCCACCATGCGGCAGGATTGCCAGTAGTAATGCATATTACTATGTTAATTATTTTCCACTATATCGATTATGAAGACCTAGGGTCTTAGATTTGTCAGCTCTGCCGCAACTAAAACAATTAAAAATTTTCAATTTTGAACGGAAGAGCTCACTTACGTTGGTTAAGGTTTTCAGTACTCTTGGAGGCAGCGGATTGCGATCCGCTGCACTCATATTGGTTCCTATAAGGTCAGCTTAGCTTCATCTAAGCAAAGTGCTATGACAGCCCGGAAACAATATACCTCTTCTTGGCTTGGCCCTGCTGACCTCTACCTCCTTGAGGCTCAACAGAACTTAATTTTTTATCAGTAGGGAGCCCCGCGCCTACTGGGTATTGTCGTTTCCCCGCGACAAACCAGAAGGCCGGTACGAAGTGGGAAGTCGGTTCGATAACCCTTGACGCGCCTTGCGAAAGGGCAACCAATCCTTAGATGATGTACTCGAAACTCGAGTGTTTAGCATTCGTCACACGACACTGTCTCGTACGAAGCAGAAACAATGGGAAAACGATGACAAAGTCTGATATATTATATGCGCTGGTGATGAGAAAACGATTTTTCAGAGTGAGCTCAAACTCCCAAGAGATTCAAAGTGAGGATCGCCTCTTCATTTTTGCACTTTTATTTTTGAGTCTGGTGAGTGTGTGTGTGCCATTCCACAAGTCATTCCACATGTATGTAGGCATCACCTTGCTTTTTAAAAATGCTAGCAGTAACGCTATCGGGTAGCTAGGCTATCGATTTTTTCGAAGCGCGTGGAGTCTCCCCAAAAGTCTCATCATGCATCCGTTAAGGATGCCGGTTGTTTACCAGACTACAGCGGGGCCGCCGTAGCTCATTCGCTTAAAGAAGCTTGGTTAACTCTACGAGTGGCAGCATGATGCACCAGCGCCAGGTCGGTGACTACTCCAAGAGTGATAACAACCTTAACCCAAGGTTAATCAACTCTTCGTTTAAAATGTAATTTATATTTCTCAATTTTATTTGCGGCAAAACGGCCTACATCTAAATATATAGGATTTGCTTTCTGTAGAGCAAAACCTAATTAAATGTGTAAATACTGGCAGTATAGCCACGTATTGCCTTCTTGTTTAAGTGTAGTCACACCACTGTGTGGTCACGCAGTCTTGTTTAAGCCACACCATTTCTGAGATCAAATTTTCTTGTTTGACCCGCACCCTGTTTTCTGGGGCACGTGAAACCCATCACCGTAATCCTTGTACGTCATCCACACCCACTCAGCGGTGTATCCTGAACAGTTGTCACAACACTTTCGAATTTTGCTACAATCGTTACATTTTGTCTTGATTACGGTTGCAAGCGAACTTCTGCGAGTAGTTCCAGGGGGTGCTGATATTAAAAATTTGGGTACAGCTTTTGCAATCAACTGACGAACAATCTCACCCCTACATATTTGACCCGATTGCTCAAATCTCGAGCATAACGCAACTTTCGATTAAACTACATAGGCATTGTTTCACTTGCATATATCGAAAGGTTTGTGTAAGGTACTTGCTATGACGTCAGTATTGGCTTCATGCATTTTATACTGTAGTTGAAATTTACACGCTAAATACATTTTACGCGGATAAACTGATAGCCACTTTGTACGGCGTAGCCGTTCTGAGCTCGCAAACAATGGAATCGACTTGCGCTTAAATCAGCTGTTTTCTTTTTTGCGTCAACAAACTAAGTTTACAATGACTTTTAAATGTAACAGCAGGGACTCCGGCAAATCGAGTTGCATCATATATGACCAGCAACGTCTATACCTGACCGGTCAACAATTTCTTTCGGAAATGCAACGCCTTCGTATGCGGACTATTCGTACCGTTAAGTAATGTTCCCATAATCTTGGACTTTTTCAGTCACCTCTTTACTTTGTTGAATATCATTTCAGTGTAGATGCATTATAAGTTTGTTGAGAAGATGACAAAAACCCGAAGTAAATGTATTTAGGTCCTTAGTTCGCTAGCTTTGTGCTACCTCTAAGCCTGTCTTTCTAGATCCTTTTAAAAGCGTCTTGATACAATCTTATTTATCTAGACAAATCAACGACTACCATTATGTCCCTAATCAGTATCCGTAATCATGACGGTAATTGTAAACATGCCTGTAATCCTTGTGACGTCATCTACATGCATTCAGCGATGTAAACCTAACACTCCCACTTATCGCTAATGTTGAATGTGCTTTGTTGCTGACTTGATCTTGATGCCTGTAACCTCTCGCTGAAATTTGGGCATCTTGGTCCGGAGTGCCTTGGTCAGCATATCTGCAAGCTGACACGTCGTATCAATGTAGCCAATCTTGTATAATCCATGTTAATCGCTCTCACAAATAACGTGATGTCTAATTTTCACGTGCTCTGTACGAGCGTTATAGCCCGCATTGTTTTTGCCAAAGCTATCGCACCTTGATTGTCTTACCATACTTGCGTACCTCCCACTTGTTCTTGCCCCATATACTTCTTGTGCGCACAAGCTTTGCGCCATATACACCGCTACAGTAAAACTTAGTGCGAAGGTTCTCTGACACTTGGACTTGGACCCAACCGAAGCTTTTGCAGTATTCATCAACATACGTGAGACAGACTGTCTGTCATCAGAGTTGCTGCCCCTGTCTGCATCCGAAAAAGCCTCAACAATCACTCTTCGAGTCCCTCCTTGGTAAATGGTCCCATAATGACGGCTTTCCAATGTGGTAATACGGGATTTTCGAGAATCGAGACATTTGTATAACCATATATGCGATACCCGGCCGAGTGCAAGTTGTGATATATAGCAATGAGTGAGCGGTTTGGTTTTGACCGCCCCTCTGAACGCTCCGCTTCTGTACTTTAAGACTATGCCGTTGACAGTTTGAGACCGGACGCACACGGAGTGTCGACGCCCTTGGCGTTTTTCTGTCCAGATCGCTCAGCCACGTCGCTAATGTACCGTGTCTGATTGATCATTAGTGTGGAAGCTGACCTGTCGTGGTCGATCTCCATGCTTAAGATGAAATTTGCCATACCCAGATCCTTCATCCTGAAAACACTTTTTAGCATTCCCTTGACCTTTGGAATCTCGCTGCTCGTCTTGGCTGCATTAATCATATCATTGACATATAGACATAGGTACACAAAACCCTCTTTCACTTTCTTCGCGTAGACGCATTGATCCGCTCTAAAACTCGTGAAGACGTGATCGATTGTCTTGTTTCGAGCACTTGCAGCTTACTTATGTCCATTAATAGCTTTGTTCAGCTGACACTCAAATCTTTGAGCCCCTTAAAGCAAATTAGAACCTCCGTGTAGACACGATCTGGCAGCACACTGTTGAGAAAGGCTCCAGTTGCTGCAATTTGTAGCCGAATACCGCGCACACCGCAAGTACAAATTTATTTGAGTTCATGTTGGCCACTAGAGAGTAAGTCTCGAAGAAAACCACGCCGATTTCTGTTTAAATCCTTTAGCCACCAATCGAGCTTTGTAGCGCACAACACATCCCTTCTGGTCACGCTTCTTAGCATAGACCCAGCGGCATCCAATCGTACGTCCAGCTGATTCTTGTGGAAGTAGTGTTCAGGTTCTGTTCTGGCGTTGCGATTGTAATTCGGCGTCCATGGCTTGTCGCCAGTCTTCTGCTTGTCACTAGCGTAGGCAAGTCAAATTCTTCACCAACACTTTCAGCGTAAGCGAGAACAGCTTCAGCTATAAGACCGTCTTCATCAATCCTTGCACGCTTTGGAGAGAGTGGTCCTTCACTTCTTTCCAAACTTTCTCCGGCATCTGATCCGCTATCCATTAACAAAATTGATTTGCGTGTACGCCTTGAGCGTTCCACTTGCGGTTGGAATATCAATCAAGTTTTCTATACATCCAATGTAAGAGTTCTGTACTTTGTCAGTTCAGAGTGTACTGAGGCCAGTAGTCGAAGTACATCACCCTCTATCCATTTGTGTCAGACTCCTCCTCATTCATTGGATCATCAGGAATTTCTTTTTCTTCTTCACACTCCGTAGGCTCATCTTGATCTTGTTTGTGTTTTGTCGGCCCGAACACTGCGCTTTCATCGCTGTTCATCGTTATGTGTTTCAATTTTACTCGTTTGGTGGAGTGCGTTTCATAAATACCCTCCTCCAGCTTCACCGACCGTGATACTGATATCTTGTCTTTCTCCAAATCGTAAAATCGGTATCCCTTGGTGTCTTCGGCATAACCAAGAATCATGCACTTAAAGATTCTGGCTTCGAGCTTCGTCCTCTTCACTTGATCAACGTGAGTATACCCATGAGACCCAAACACCCTAAGGTGATCCGTTCGAGGCTTCATCTTTAATCCCAGCTCATACGAGTTATTTTTTTGGGCGCACTGTATTGGGAGAGCGATTGATCAGGTACATCGCAGTGCTTACTGCCTCTGCCTACCAACATGTCGGAACACACTTGCAAAGTAGCATGCTCCGTGCCTTTTCCATAATTGTGCTGTTCTTTTGCTCTGCAATTCCGTTTTGTTGGAAATTGTATCGCACTGTACGCTGATGTATGAAGCCGTTCCGCTGACATAACTTCGTAATTGTCTTGTTGACAAATTCTGCACTTGATTTGGGTTCCCCATTAATTTTCATGCAATGCTTTGAACATCTTGATCTTGTCGGCAACTTCACTCTTCTTCACCAACACATATCGGGAATCAATATTCCACAAAAGTCAAAATGTACTTAACTCCTCCTTCCAAAAGTGTCTTCATGGGTTCCATCACGTCCGTTTAAACTAATTCCAATACGCGTGACGTTTTTGTCATTAAGCGTTTTGAAAAAGCCTGAACCGTTTGCTTGCCCTTTATGCATCCATAGCACAAGGCCGTGAAACTTTGTTTTAGCGCAAGCATACCTTCTGTGGATTGCAAAGTCTTCACAAAAAATTCTCGCTTGGGTGTCCCATACGAGCGTGCCACAGCTCCCACCGACTATCAGCTCCCAAGTACTGCACCGATCGTGCCTCTTCTTGCTGAAATCTGGTGTATAAGCTTTCTCATTTCTTGTCCCAGTTGCCAAAGCATAGTTCTTGTCCCAAATGGTACACGAAGCATGCTGAAACTCCACGCTTAATCCACGTCGGCAAGCTTTCCCACCGACAGTAAACATCTGTCAAGTCCAGAATTAAGCAGCACTTCCATCATCAATATGCGTCTTTCGTCTAAACCGAGCAAGTCACTTCGCTTAGGGGTCATGTGTGACATCGCACCACTGTCAATCAGCCAGCTTGCCGATTGCTCCTCACCCACAGCAAATACTGCATCATTACCGCTGAACCGGTTTCTGGATCTGGGCAGTCATATGACCAGTCTGGTCATAATTAAAGCATTTGCCCCGAAAAACACCGTCCATGCGTCGTGCGTAATTCTTGCGACCTTTGCCCTTGATCCGGCCATCATTGGCTGTGGCGCGAAACGCTTTCTCACTTGCTTCCTTCTTTTGTAGCCTGTCTGACTTCTCCAACAGCTTCTCCTTCACTTCGATATGAGTGATGTTCTTGGCGTTCTCCACTATAGAAGAAATCATCTCATATTACACTGGCAAGCTGCTCAGGAGTATCACTAGCTGCCTTGATTCATCCACCGGCTCTCCTCCGTCTGGAGTCCCACTACCAGTTCGTCGAACGCGTCCAGATATTCCACCATTTGTGTACCACTCTCCATCTTAAACTCAGTGTCATCGTGGCGTGATGGTACAGAGTGGACCGATTGTAGAAATCGCGAAGCATTAGTAGAAGACCGGATCTTAGTCTGGTGCTGAATGTCGACGCCTTGGGCAATTATACCCAATGCGTTGGTCATTCACGAGCCACATCTCCGTTATTTCGCTCTCATCCTTTGCGCCCATAACGTGTCCCAGAGGCCCTTTTCTCTAGAGACATATTCATTTTGAGCTCCCAATGGTAGTAATAACCACCTCCTAGGAGGACTTTGGTGCGCTTCGTAGTCATGGCGGTAAAAGTGTGGCGAAGCGAAGCTATGTTTGCGGATGATCTTCCGGTGTAAATTTAACAAAAAGCGGTCCGTCGATTTCACGTGTCTGATCGATTTGCAAGATCTTATATATACACGCTAATATGACGAGACGTTTGACACTACACCACAAGAACGTCTGTCAGACTATTAATATTATTTGAAAAGTACTAGATGCTAACATTTCATTTGTGCTCAACGTTGTGCTTTAGAGAAGAACTTACTACGATAGGTCGTTATTCAAAATTAGATGCGTCGGCTGGTGATGCGCGAGTTTTGACTTTAAAGATAACGAAAACAATACCCCGAAACAATTTTTTGGTTTTGCGATAGCCTTAAAATCAATGTCCTCCATTCTTATGTTGCTCTTGGTTTGAAACAGACAATATACTACAAAACATTTTAGTCAAAAGAAAAGGTTGTATATGAGAAAATGATTGTGCGCTATATTCGATATTTGTTTGTTTGATATGCAGATTGATACGGGTAACGCCAAGACACCGTCTGAAAAGAAACTATCCAATCATAATACTATTTTGAGTACGAAGTATGTATATCTGCGACGTGTCAACTACTAGGTTACTCATCACCGGAGTCGTCCTCGATATCGTCCTTATCAATGAGTTGTGCATCCTCTTCAGATGAGTTTTCCTCACTAACAAGCTCACTCGCCTCCTTATTCTCGATGTGAACTGCAACCCATTTTGCCGTCAATAGATCATCCTTGTCTTTCTTATGGAGGGCCTTCAGGACTTCCTTCTCAGATTTGATTGCATCCATCGCCTCAGTTGAAATACTAGTAAGATTCTGATCGCTAACCTTTTCCGATGTCATGGATGGCACCGTGAATTCAGTCTCGTCATTGACAGATCGTTCCTTAACAACAATAAATTCCTTAACGGGATGTTCAGCACTTTTATTCTGAGAATTGGTGGGATTTTTCGATTTCTTATCATCCGAGCTCTGAGATAACATCTGACCTTTCTCTTGATCGATTCCTTCTGTCTTCTCATTATTGTCTTTCCATAACTCTGTTTCGTTGGCCACGTTGTTCGATGGAAAGTTGGTCTCAGCGACTTTAGACGGCACAGGTATTGTAGTCTTGCCGTTGGCAGACTCTTCCTTAATCCCAATAATATCCTTTACGGGATGTTCAGCGCTTTTGATCTGCGAGTTGTTGATCTCTCCCTTCTTCTGATTAATCGGGTCATTTGGTAAAATTGAACTACCCTTTTGATCGATCACTTCTCTCTTTTTTGCATCGTCTTTCCATAGCTTTGTTTCTCTTGCCACATTGTTCGGTGAAAAACTGGATTCAGAAATTGTGGACGGTGTAGATATTGAAACTACAACATCGGCGACTTCGTTCTTTACCGTAGTAACGTCCTTTGCGCGATGTTCAGATCTTTCAATCTGAAAGTTGGTGGGTATCTTTCTTTTCATATCTACATGGTTCTGAGATGAAGTTGGATCTTCTATTTGATTGAATCCTTGTCTTTT